TTTTTAAAAGTTTATGACTTCGTTTGTATGAATAGAAAGTAAATTTTTTAACACTTATTATTATGCTCAACGCTAAACAGAAATGCTAATATTTAAATATTTTTATTTTCTTCAGCTGCAATAGTTGTGTGAAATTTAACTGAAAAAAAAACAAGATATATTTTACAAAAAAAATGAAATAATAATAATATTAATTTCTCTTTTGCTAAACCAAAAAATAACTTACTTACTACCTATAAAATGAAAAAGAATAAACAAAAAAAAAAGAAAACTTAGCTGTTATGAAAATGTACAATAACAATACATATCTTTAAATTAACCCATTAAAATAGGTGTGAAAATATAGAACTAAAAACAATCAAACGAAACAAATTCCCCAAATGTTTAACCCATTTTTTCTATACTAAAAAAACCAATAAAAAACAACAACAACTGCAACGAAAGCATAAACATGGCAAAGCAGAATAAATTTTAAAGAAGAGAGTAGAACAGCAACAAAAACAAAACATAAAATAGGAAACAACCAACAAAAGACTTAGACAACAAACTTGGCAGAAAAAACTATTCTTCTTTATAAAGTTTTAAATCTTTTTTTTGTTTTTATTATAAATTCTTATATGTATGTGTGTAAGAGTGTTTGTTTGAATGTTTTTAACTTTTGTGGATTTCCTGTATGCATAAATGTATGTGTTTGTGTGTGAAACCTAAATATCTATACGTCAAGAATTCTTAAATTTTTGGTTGTGTTGGTGGTAATTGCTTTTGAGGTAAAAAAAAAAGTTATTGATTGATTATTCTGTTGGTTTATATTGCTTGGCCGGAACCAGTTCTTTTAAAGCGATTTTTCTTTTATGTTCTGTATTTTTTTTAAAGTTTTTTTTCGTGCATTGTTGTTTTTGCATGCTTAACTGTTTTTACTTTACAATACCGTTCTGCGTAAACTATACGATTTATTTTTTGTATTGTTGATTGGTTAAGCTATACAAACTTACATACTTATGTACAAACATACATACATAAGTATGTTCATAAGAGGCTTTAGTTTTCATTATTTTTAAAGAATTTTATGGCTAAAACGGTAATGTTTTGTATGTATTATTATTTTTAATAAAGTTTGTTAGTGCTGTTGAGTTTAAATTGATTGCTTTGAAAATGGGTTGGGTACGCTTGTATCTATTATGTTTTGGCCGTAAGCCAAATAATCCTGTTTTATTTTTTGTTCTCTACCAAACGAGAAATTTGCTAAAGAAAAACTGATCATTTCAATAGTTGCAAAATATTTTCATTTAACTTAATATTAACAGAAAACTTGACCTAGTTCTCAAATTTGTTTGTTATAAACAAACAAAACACTGAAAGCAATATATTATTAACCTAAAAGTCACCTTGAACTTAAGAAAACTACAACTCTGCTAAATTAAAACTCCATAAATATTAAACATAATAATGTTTAACAACATGCCATGCTTTGTTTCATTAAACAGCTAATGTTTTAGTTCAATCAACAGGTTCATATATTAAATTATTCATAAAAAGGGGGAAAAACTGCATTTTTGTGTATTGTTGTATGGTATTGTATAATACCACACCTTCTAAGTGATCTTACAATTTAAGATGGCTGCTGCCATATTTAATATTCTAAACTTTATGCAAAAATATCATTAATAAAATGTTTAATATTGCTAACGAAGATGATGATGTTGATGACGACGACGACGTTGGAGATGATGTTATTAGTTAAATATTTTAGCTTAAACAACAAAAAAATTAAAATGTACGAGAATAATTTGTTTTTTTTTTTTTACTGTGAGTTTTTTTAAATCAATTTCCAAAGTAGATTTTGTGTTAATTTGCCACGCAGTACATTTTGTTTTCTTTATATTTATATTAATTTTTTTTTTAAGCATTAACAAAAATATTTTTGTTATGACCAACAATTTTTTAGAGAATTTATTTCACAGACATTCCATTGTTCAAACCAAAAAGAATGACACTTGTTTTATTTAATATTTTCAGATTTTTTTACAGAAATATGTGCATACATACATACACACACATATAAATACATTTATATTGGTGTATGTGTATATATTATAAAATTTTTTCTACACACCTTTATCTACATTAAGTTTTATTTCGTTGTTTTTTTTTTTTTTTTTTGTTTCTGTTGTTATTGTATTTACTTTTTTCTTTTAGTCGTAAGTACAGATATATAATTCTTTAAGGTTGTATAGGTTTCAGATATTCTCTTTTTTATTTTTTGTTTCGTTTGTTGTTATTGTGGAAGTTGTTTCTTTATTTTTGTATATAATAACAAGAAATCTTTATTTTTTTGTTTGCTTTTTTATTTTGTATATTTGTTTGAGTAAATCCACTTAATTTCAGTTCACGTTTATTAATTCACAATGTAGTTTTAAAGCGCGTTATTTAAAAAACACAACCTAAACGTTCAACAGTCAACAGCCAACTAACAGGTACTCGCTCTATCAATTTTCTATACACCTTAAGCCAGGCTAACAATCAATGTTCTTTGTGTTTAACGTGATCACTGATCAGTTGCGCTATAACGTGTGACTCTGAGTTTTCTCTGGCTCTGAGTCAGAGTCAGCCGTAAACAAATACCTCGTCAATAGCTTTCCCTTTTAAATCAAGCAATAATGTCCCTATAATTACTATTTAAAAAAAAAATTAACAAATTCAATAATCAAACTAAATATTTTTTATAAAATTTAAATAATTGAAATTTTACTAAATATTTTACGTTTTTATACTTATTTATTTGTTTTTCTCTTTATTTTACACAATTATATTTACACTTTCTCTCTCTGTAAATGTGTTTGAAAAACTCTCTCATTCCAACTCTTTGAAATATTTTCTTATTTTTACCGCTGCTGTAGTTTGTTTGCATTTCATTTTACACATTATTGTGATTCTTGATAACAATTGTTAACAGGTCTCACAAAGTCACGTCTTTCTTAAACGAAAGACTTAAGAAACAAACGTAAATCTTATCTAAGGGAACAGGGTGTCTCAGATATTTAATTTATAAAATTTTCAACTAAAGAACAAAAATGTTTATTAAGTGAATGTTAAACTTTCTTTATAATAAAAGGGAATATAAAATAAAACTAGTATTTATATAGTTTTGTATTGAAGTTGAAGATGAAGTTTTAAAAATTAAAAATACCTTTTTTAGGCGATGCTTAACTAGCTGCAAAAGATTGAAAATCAATATCTCACCGATATAGATTGTTAGCTTCATGCGTAAACTTAGCTTGTTGTGCTGAACTAAAGGGCTTCACAAAAGATCCTTATTCGGGTTGTTGTTGTTGTAACAGTTCGACTGTGACCGATAGTTCTTTCCTGGGGAAAAAACTTTCGATTGATACAGCTGTCGCTGGCTTGACAATCTTTGGCTGAGTATGACTCGGGTCGTTCCGGAGCTTGTTCTGCTGAACTAAAGGCCTTCACAAAAGATCCTTATTCGGGTTGTTGTTGTAAAATTTCGACTGTAACCGATAGTTCTTTCCTGGGGAAAAAACTTTTGGTTGATACAGCTGTCGCTGGGTTTGGCAGAGTATGACTCGGGTCGTTCCGGAGCGAAGATCCAATTGTCGTGGAAACCTTATTCGGGTGGTAATGCTTGGCATCTCTTCTCATCATATCTAATCCAGAGAACAAAATACATTATTTAAAGATTTAACGATTAAAAATATGATTTCACTTCAAAAATTTTATAATTTGATAAAAAATCAAACAATTTTTAGAGAAAATTTAAAATTTACAAAAATTTGTATTTTCAATGAAAAAATATATAAAATAAAAGTTTAAACTCCGAAACTCGGACACAAAATAAAGAACTCTCGCCGACAGCATTTTATATTCGTCACAGCCACAGAACTTCTATTAGTTATAAATAAAATGCATAAATTTTTTTGTTTGCCACATTTTTTTATTAAGTTTTTCTTTGTTTTCATTTGTTGTATGTATAGTAATTTGTAATTTATTTGAAATAATCAATCGTTTTTAATAGTTTCTTAATTAGTCATTATTTTCTTATTTTTCGATGACAGACAGAAATGTTATTTAATTTACTTGTGATTTTAGATATAAAGTTTGAAATTTATATTTGGCTAAAAAAATGAAAATATTTAAAGAATTTCTTAAACAATAATTGTTTGCATGATTTGATAAATAACTTACAAATCATTGCTTCAATACAAATACAACATATAGAAATTGCCATATAGAACTGTTCGAACATTAAGTTAGTATCTAACATCAGATACAGGATTTGTAAGTTTCTTTATTTTTAATTTTCGTTTATCGTATACTTGATTTTGTTTTTTTTTTAGTTTTATTTAAAACTTAAAATACAACAAACTAAAATAAGTGAGTAAGTGGTGTTACGTTGTTAGTTTTAAATTATTTATAGCTGCTGGTTTATTTGTTTTATGTGAATTATTATTGTTGGCTTAATATTTTTAAATCTAAAAAATATTGCATCAATATTGTTAGTTTAATTAAATATATATATTTATGTATATATTTAGTTATATATATAGTAATTTATATGTATAGTTTTTGTATATATATTTATACTTTAAGACTTGGTATACATCATTTTGTTTTTTGTTTTTATTTTAGTATACATTGAATGTAGTGGTTATTTTTTAAGATTTTTTTTTATTATTTTTTTGATAATACTAGAGTTCGAAACGGTTTATTTGTAGGAGTAGTCAATTTTGTGAGGCCAAAAAATACACTATACTTGTTGTTTTACTTATTAGTTTTATTTTATTAAATTTTGTTATGCAAAATGAAAATTAAATTTATAATTTATCTCGTATACATGTTAAAAGTTTTAACGTTTTCTGATTTTTGCTTTCAATCGTATAACTATTGTGTGACATAATCATTTTCTAATACTTTATCGAAATTTGTGTTTTTATCTTATTTAAAAGATACAGTAATTTAAATAAATTTAAAATATTATTTAGTATACATACGGTTACAAATGTTTTTCTCAAGTATACATGTTGTTTGTTTGTTTTTTTTTTGTTATTAAATCTTAATGCTAAATTTAGTAAATACTAAAGATTGGAAAAAATTTACGTATATGCGGCCTTAATGCGATTTTAAATTGAACTGAATTTGTGAATTTGCAAAATTAATTGAAATAATTATAAAAAGCAAAAATAAGAAAACAATTGCATCAGAAAAGAAAACTTTTGTATTTTCTTTTCGTTTTTTTTTTTTTTTTTTTTGTTAGACTTAAATCCTAAAGATAAAATTAAAAGTAAATGTTAAAGAAAAAAACAAATATTTTATAGAAAAAAATAATACACCTACTACATTTAAACTTTAAAAAGCCATTTCAGTAAGTAAGGAAGAAATAAGTTGAAAAATATTCTAAAAATCAAAGTGCGTTGGTTTAGATAAATTTGGATGTGGGGGAGACAGACACTCTCCGTCCTTTTAATATTTATTATCAAAGTAACGTCCTCAAGGGCTAAGATCCTGGTGTAGAGTAGGATCGTAGCCGCCCATGCTGTTGTCATAAGGTTGCTGTTGATCGTAACCACCGGAGCCCATGGAATAACCCATTGAGTCTTGCGGAGGAGCTGGTGACATCATAGGTGTGGTAGTGCCGCTGGGAGGTCCTGCCATTGAATAGGGAGAGGCTCCAGCTGCCTTCTTGGCAGCATACAAATTTGCCTCTTCTTGGGCTTTGCCAATATTCTTCTTATAACGAATGCGTTTATTTCCAAACCAATTGGAAACTTGTGAGACCTAATGAGACACAAAAAATATTATTTTGTTTTATTTTCATTTTCTATTTTCACAATCTAACCGTTATGCCACATTTGCGAGCCAATTCTTCCTTAGCTTCTTCAGAGGGATAAGGATTACTTAGGTGGCTGTAGAAGTATTCATTTAAGATCTCCGAAGCCTGCTTGCTAAAGTTTCTACGTTTGCGCCGGGCATCTAGGAACCGCGAACGTAAGATCATAACTGCCTCACAAGTTGACTGTTTCAATTGCATTTGAATGGAACTAAATTTCTTGTGTATAATTTGTACCATACGCTCAATCTCCTTGGGAGTAATTGGTCTGTTTATTAAAACAAATAATTTTAAAAGTAGAAAATATTTAATGAAGTCGGTCTAATAAATAAAATATTCTTACCTTGTACGACTTTGTTCACGCAATAGATTCATGACATGGGTGGTAAATTCATTGCACGCTTGCTCATATTTCTCCAATTCTTGATGATAAATCTGACGAATTTGTGCCAATTTAGCACGATAATCTGAATGCTCAATTGCATTGTCGGCACCATCAATAGAGAGGGATGAACCTACTTTTTATTTAGACAAAAATGGCATAAGAATTATTATGAAGCATGCAGTTTTTGTCTTGAAAACAAAGCAACTTACCTTGACTTGCTGCTGCAGCGGACGCAGCAGCGGCGCCACCGCCACCCTTTTCGGGACCAGCAACACCTTCAGCAATCAACATGTTGTCTAAACGCATTAACTGTGGATCTGGAGGCTCCTCCTCTTGAGTATTGCGAATTGAAAGGACTAAGAATAAATAAAAGTCAAAAATTAGTAAGAAAAAGATTGTTAAAGATGTTTAAAAATGTCAATTTAAACAATGTTTAAGTTAGTATGTATAAACATTGATATATGATACCATAGACAAAATCGTGTATTGTTTATTTTAGATCCTTGATAAATACGTTAGCATTAGCAACAGATAAACATTGAAGACAAAATAGGAATCCTTTTAATTATATTTAAATTCAGCATTTTATTTTTTATAATTCTGTAAACTAGGTAATTAATAGTAAATTCCTTATTTTCCAGAACATTCGCTTTACTTAATATTGTATTGTTGAAGGAAAATAAATATTGGCAAGAGAATTTAAGTTCTTTTTGCTCACTTTACTGATTTTCAGTTTATTAATACAAACATCCATTCTCATGCTTTCTTTTGGTGTTATTATTAAACAACAGCAACAGCAGCATGAATGAAATGAAAAACATTTTCTTTGTTACAAATATAATATTGAAGATTTTTTTTGTCGTTCTTGCTACAAAGATGTTCTTCTTATAGACCTCCATAAAATTTTATTTGTGTACGAGAAAGAAAACAAAATGAGCTTTAAAGCAGAAACTTACAGAAAACATTTCAAAAGATGACGCCAACTGTGGCAAAACAAAAAATAAATGAAAAAAATATAATGGCATTTTAGTCAGTCTTTCAAAGAATAAAATCAATCAAAGGAAATGTTTTAAACATTATTTACTAAAGATAAAATATGACTTTTTAAAGGTACTTTTAATAAAAAAATCAACAAAGTGTTAAAAATCTTGTTTATGTTTAACAATGGAATTGTAAACTTATTTTTTAAAACATTCAATGAATAGTTTCTTTATGTTCTCTGATATTAAACATTAGTCGCGGTTCTAAGAGCAAAGGACTAAATATATCGGATGCCACTTTTTATATGGCAAAACTTTGTAACAAAAATAAACACACACAGAGCGAATTATACGGATTGGGAATAAGCTTAAACTTTAACGTCAAACCTGCAATGAACACTGTGGCAAATATTAACGCAAATGTCTAGGGAATCGCTTGAATTTCTTAAAACTTAATTTCTTAACATTTCTAAATAAATTAAGTAATAGAGTTCTATAATTGCGCACAAAAAAGGGATTTAAACTATTTAAATTTTAATTTGGCGTAGTTAAGAATGTTTCATTCAGTATAATAACAACATCATAAATATTGTATTGGCCAAATAAAATAGACACGTCTTTTAAATAGAATAAACTCTTTAATAAACTTATAATACTTTCTGTTATTTTACTAAGAAATTTAAAACTTTAAACGTTACTTGATATATAAAATTTCCATATAATACTCTAGAGGATTCTGAGATTCCCAAATACGGCCATTTTAATGCATTTTTAAAAAATGTTATTCTATAGCAAAAATTAAAAGCAAAAAAAAATGAAACATCTCACTTTAAGAAAGGCAAAATATATATGAACAAACATACACACAAATAAAGTTTCAAGTAATGTAATCCAAGTTATATGACAATACACAATTGGGGAGGGAGCGAACACGGGTTGTATGAAGTAAGTAAAGGTATTACCAAGTTATCTTATCTTAACTTGACTAACCACCCTTTAGATTTTGGGGTATTACATACAAATGAACATGTTTTTGGTGTTTCGTGTTTATTTCATACTTTTTTTGTATTCGAAAGACACTCTGCAAACAACGCACGTTTTGTTATTGTGCAGCAAAAGTTGATTAGATTAGGAATAAAATAGAAGCAGAACTTTTTTCTTTTCTTGTATATTATTAAACGCATCAGCAAAATACTCTTACACATATTAAACATGTTGAATAGGGAGTTGAATTTAAAAATATGAAAATATCTACGGAAGCAGAATATATTAAAGCTTTAAATTAAAGAACTGATGTAAATTAAATAAAAATATGAATATTATAAAATAATTAACAGATTTCCTTTAAAAAAAATATAATTCATTACAAAATATAACACTAGCTTTTGGTGTTTTATTTCAAAAATTAAAAACTGTTAATTTATCGCAAGGTATTGCAATATTTAATTAAATTAAATTATTATTAAGAAAAATAATTAAACCCTTATTATATAATTTCTTAACTAAAGCAAATTATATTTATGGGCTTTAGTTTTAAGGGCAGCTATATTACACTAATTCATTAAATTTAAGGCTATATTGCGGTTTGCTCCAACATACAAAACAGCATCCACAGATGTTTGAAAGTATTATTAAAAAAAAGCAAAACAAATATCAAATTGTAACGCGTGCAAAATATGGCAACAACTTTCTACAAGTTTCTTCGCTAGTCTTTACTATCCTCTGCTTTTTTTGAGGGTGGTTTATGTAGAATTGTTAACCAGCCTTATGATTTTGTTGTTATAACTTTTGTCTCTTGTAACTCTATTAAAGTTTTAATGTAAATGCTCACACCCCGAAAAAAGAAACGTGCCATAAATGACACTACCACCAAAATGACAACATCAACAAAAACAAAAAAAAAGGCAATTATGTTGGCATCTTAAAAAGATAATGTGGTGCAAAATGTAACCAAATTACTAAATATAAATCAATTTTATTGAAATAACTAAAAACAATAGCAAGCGTTGCTGACAAGAAATCTTATATTAATGTTAACTTTAACACGTTCGTCTAAATATTTATTGCAAGATTTAAAACTTTAATATATTCTTTTTAAAAAATAACATAAGAATTTATGATCTACTAAATGAGATAGTTTTATATACAAATGTATATACAGATATGTTTACCCTTTCATTACAATATCGAAATAGTATTTCCACATCACCACCTTTAGAGAAATAAAAGAAAAACAACAACAAACATACTCCCACAATGGCAGAAAAACACCTCCCTATAGATTCAAAATGATTTCAAAGCTATAGCTTTTGACTGCCTAATGAAGCATTTTAATGCTACAAGAAGAAATAAACTAAAGGAAAAGTAAAAGGAAAAGAAACGAAACGAAACGAAAGCCAAGGCATCAACATTATTATTGAAAGCAGCAACAACAAATGTATAAAATATAAAAATCCTTTATATTTTGTTGACGAGCAATTGCTCTCTTGTTACGTATCATAAACTTGAACAACCTTTTGCTTCAAATAAAAAAATAATACAAAAACAACAACTACATATACATATATTTACATACATATTGAAATCTAAAGTTTATTCTTAAAAATAATGCTACATCTTGTAAAAGACTTATTGGGTTTAGGAACATGTGATGTCGTAACAAAAATATTAAGTTTATTCTTTTATAATTATAAACAATAATTAAAACCCGAATTCACTTTGTCATTTAGTGACTAAATATGTCAAAATTTGTTAAAAAAAAAAGTATCCCATTATCAAACCTATAGTTTACTAGAAAAGAGTGTAAAATGTAATCCAAAATGTAAAAATATTGAATTTTTTTTATATTTTTTTTTTTTAACGTGAAATTACTTTTGCCCTTAACCTCTATATAATTCAGTTTTATTTTGCTTCCAAACAAATGTTCTATATATTATGAATGTAGTACGTTTGTAAGATGACGATAAAATAAAAATTTACATATAAAAGAAGCCTTTTTGATTTTTTTCTTTAGAAAAAAAGGAACAATTTTGTTGTACAATATCTCAACAACAACAAAAATTTTCTAAATAACTACTACTAGTAGTAGTTGTAGACTATAGTAAAAAAGTGTATGAGTTAAGCCAGTTAAGCTGGAACGTCGTTTGCATTTGTTTTTAAATACACGATTTTATTGAAAGCCGGTTTAACATTTGCCTGTATAATCATCATCATTGTTGTAGTCGATGTCTTCGTTGTCGTCGTCGTCATCGTCATCATATTGTACGGATGGGTGTATAAATGTCTGTAGAATATTTGTACCTGAGTGTGATTACTAAAAGTGACGTTGTTTTGTTGTTTTCGTCGTTTCTTAGCCAGCTTAAAATGAAATGTTCATAAAATGTTATAAAATATGGAAATTAATTACGATTAAATGCATAAATTCTTAAACAATGACTTGTATTAAAGTAAGTTTGTTATTTCTTTAATACCAACGACTTTTAAACACTTTATGGCAAATACATAGTAAAATATTTTTGAAAATATAAGAAAATTTATAAATTCGTTAAATCTCTTTTTAAAATATTAAAAAAGAAATATTCTTTGTTTATTTTTAATGAGTAAAAACGTTGTATGTATTTATATTTCTAAAAATGTATGTCTGGATATTTGTGTAATTAATCTTTGTATAAGCTATATAAATATGTACATATGCATATAATTTCATTTTACTCTTCTTACAATTTCAAAAATAATATTGATAAGAAACCCAAAGTCGGCTTCTATTTATCTATTTAAGATGGCAAACAAAGGTAACAACTATTAGTTGCTGTTAGTTTGTCTTATTTCTTCATAAAGTAATTACAAAACAAATAATCAAAGAACAAACTGAGTTTGTTATTAACTGTAGTAGAATGTGTAAGATTTTTATTCAAATATTTTAATTTTAATTTCCGAAAAATGTTTAACATGTTATCTTTATAATGCCGGTATTTCTTTTAATAAAGATATTTATTTGATAATTTTAATTTTATATTGTACATATGAACTGAAGTACACACTATATAGATAGATATTTTTATTACTTTCTATTTTTTTTTTAATTTGTTTGCTAATCCTTTTAAATTCCATTTGATTTTCTTCATTTATCATTTGAAGTTCTTTTATTTTTTTTCAAAACGAAAACTCTTTTTCGCAAATATAAAGAGTACAATAAAAAGTCAATGCAAAAAAAAATGTTATAAAATATTCTACTAATAAATCTGTTTTGATATAGAAATTTCAATATTAAGAATAAAAAACCCTTTTTTAAAAAAATGTCCAAACAATTAGAAATATTTTTAAATACTTATAGTGGCCTCCAGTACGTTAGTGTTCTGGTATAGTAGACCGGAGGTGGTGGGTTCGATTCCCAACTGAGGCACTGGTTAAGGAGCGCACAACAGACCCGATAGTGGCCTAGGTGTATTTCTTCGGATTTGATGTATATACATCCTCTTTTCAAACTAACTAACTATAATTTAGTTGTTGCGTTTTATATTTCGCTAAAAATTAATTCAAACTTATTTAATTTTCTGACATTTTTTAAACTCATTCCAAGAGGTTGTTCCGGAACTAGTATGCATTGAATCAGTGTAGTATCAATTTATAACTAGGGGCAAGAACTAGTTCTTTGAAAAGTATTTTAGAACCAAAACAAAGTTCCGAGGAACGGGTTTCAGAAGTAATGACTACATCACCAGTTCCAAAGTTGTTGTTGAAGTGTTTCTGTTTGCACTCATTCTAGAAATAGTTCTTTTTAGAATACGTTCTGAAAATTCATTTATTTTGATTTTCTTCTGAAGAAGTTATAAGCAAATTAATGAAAAATGCATCACAAAAACAAATCTACATTAAATTGAATATTCAAAAATGCATTTCTATTCTGTTTACTTGGAAGTTCTTTTCTACATAGCTTACCACCACAAAGATATTATAAAATATGAAATATTGCAAATTTTAAAAATACTTACCGGTTTTTTCCTTAATTTCACATAATACAGAAAACAATGCCGGTTTCATGCGATGACAATTTAATGTATGTTTTCGAGCTTGTGCCTCATCTAACGATTGCTCCGATATACTCATTATTTGTTGTAAAATTTCACCTATATCCTTTTGTTTGCGCACTTCATTTTCATTGCCTGCATTTTGGCCATCATCTTGGCCAGGCATTCCATAACCCTGTGGTGCCATCATGCCACCCGTATGGGCCATCATACGATTGGGATCTTCCATGTTTACTGCTGTTGCTCTTCAGTTAATAAATGATTTTAATGAAATCGACACAGCAGCAAAGCACGGCTAAAATATATTCAATAGTCAAAAGATTTGTTCATATAAATTTAGTCAATATTTAACATTTTTAACACATTTTTATAAAATAATTTAAAACATAGATATTAACCACATACACAAATAAAATAAGAAATCGTCCAAAACACACAAACAAATGCAAATCGCAGGAAATATGCGTTCAACCCCGACAATGATAAAAAGTAAACTGTGCTGTTGAGCCAAAGTAGTGAACGTTTAAACCCAACAGAAACTGTTAAGAGAGCAACATTTTTTATACTTCTCGTCATATAAATGTGTACATACCCCAATTGAGAAGTTATAACAAGAGAGTTGTGATAAATATAATGAAAAATCCAATGAGATTAAAGCAAATATATTTAGCTGGAAAATCGTTTTCAGGATAACAGGTTGCTTTTGGTTTCAAAATATTGTTTCGGCCTATATTAATTTTGTTTGAGTGTCATTGCTGCTGTTCCAACACAAACTACTTGGAAAGTTAAAATTTTCTAACTTAACTAAGGATTTGTAGTTTTTAAGATCATTTAACTACCTGCCAGCAGATTAATATTTAATCTTTATGATCTTATTATTCTGTTTAAGGTCATATGTCATGTATTATAGTATGTTGCAATAACAAAACTTTTTCTTTATGCTTCACGAAATACGCCGAAGTGACGCGTGTCTTAAGCATCCTAATGTAGTATGTATTTGTTTTGTAAGTCCTTATGTTCCAAGCAGTCACATAACTCAAGTGGTGATAAATAAAAAAGAGAAAGCTAACTTTCTCCAGTATTGCGACGGTTTACCTTCAAATGCAATGTATAAACAAATAATTATTTATCTCAAGCAAGGACAATAGAAGACATTTTTCATTTACATACTTTGTTGTTTGTATTCTTACTTAATAATTACATATGTTCTAATGCAAATTATATGTATTTACATAGGAAGTCTATAATTTAGTTTCGAAAATGTACAAAATGTTAAAAAACCTTGAAGTTTCCTTATTATTAGAAATTATTTCGAAAAGAGAAAGTTTAAGTGTCCATTCTTAATAATTTAAGGTCTATTGAAAAAATTTATGATATATACATACATGTATATCCGAAAAAATCAGGAGTAGTACTTTTGGAGTATTATATAGAACATAGAATTATTCTGAATTAGTTATTCATGATCGAATTTATATTTCATAAAACAAATGGCAATTTTATTTTATAAACCTTTTATAAAATAAAAATTTGATTATAAGAAGATATAGGGCAAGTCCAAAAAAGGACGTTTTTAGAAAAATAATTTTAAATGTTTTATGACATTTTACCATTTCTGAACAACTGTTAAACAAATTACATATTACATTTCAAACATAAATTAAGGTATAAATTAATATGTTACTAATCAGAATTTAAACTAATTAATAAAGTACACTTTTGAAAATATACTTAAAAAATATTGTTAAATAAATAAAATAAATAAAATTATATAAAATTTTTCGAAAATTCCCATATTTTGTAATACACAGTTCAAAAAAACAGAATTTTGAGTTATGCCCATTGTGAAGTAAATAAGCGATAGATACCTATACAAAAAATTTAAGAGCAAAAATATGTAAAATATTGAAATTAAGCGAAACTTTTAAATTTCCCCCCAATGTACATTTAATAGCAGTTATAAGTATCCTAGTTGTGATCATTATCGATTGTTATCCTATTGTTATCATTATCGATTTTTGATATTGTTTATAGCTATTACTTTTTCAACACCACTCGATTCACGCCCACTTTTTCACATATTCTTATTAAACAAAACTTGTATTTTATTTTTAAAAATCGTCAATTCTCTACTTTCATACAAGTGCTATAAAATTACCCAAACGTGGAAATAACTGAAAAAGTAAACAAATAAACATTAATATAAACAAATCATATAAAACCCATAAAAATCCGAACCAACCAAAAGAAAAAAACATGCTCCCGATAATATAAAAGTCGCAATAAAAAAGTTAAGAACACACATACACACACGGTCACAATAAAAATGAAATGAAATCTTTATTACACGAATAATATTTTATAAAAATATTAACACAACACAATAGATTTTTTCTTATTTTTTATTTAATATAGCATTATAAAAAATAAACTCGAAAATAGCTCTTCTGTTTTTAAATTAAATATCATTAAAAATTTGTATTTTTGTCGCTTTTGTTGTATACAGAAAAAAAAGAAAAATCAGGTATAGAAGATTAAAAAAAATCTTCCCTTCAATGTTAAATTTAAACACATTTTTAAGTCTTAAATTTATAGATTTTATATAAATTTATGTTGTAAATATGTGAAACATTCTAATGATTTATGTAAATAATGTAATTTTTTTATTTATTTACCACAAATTCGAAAAAACTTTATAATAGTATACCGCGTCGAATAAAAAATGTTGCTTTTAATTTTTTTCACAATTTTCTTTGTGTGTATGCTTTGTATCCCAGTTCTTCGTTAACAACTTAACGAAGAAAAAATAAACATGGCGGATAAATGTCAGTAGAAAACAAACATGAGAAGTGTAAGGCGCGGCTACACCGCAAATGTTGCCACTTAAATTTAAATGACATCTGAATTGAAAATTAATAAAAAAAATGTATTTATATTTTTATCAAATTGTCTTAAATAATTATTATTAAGTAGAAATCTGTAACCGCTTCTGGCTAGCTCATAAAATATTGTTTTAATAATATTAAAATTCTAAGTCTTCCAATTGGAAATTTGCTGAGCCTCAGCCTCAACCGTTTTTCATATATTTTGTGCATTCTACTACCGAGAGATACCCCACCTCAGCAAAGTCGTCCCGGTAAGAAATTTACGTGTTTGTGCTTTTTTGAAAGAAATAAACCCGGCAACCCTGAAAGAAAGTGTCACAACATGCAGTGTAGCAACGACTTTATTTGTTTTTAGTCATCGTAATATTTACATTTAAATTCACGCAGTTTTGCTTTTGCTAATAATAAATATAAGAAAACAAGTTTTATTTTAAGAGAATTTTATGCAAATTTATTAAAAGTGATTTAATCAATCTCACAAAGAAACCGCATGAATACTTTATCCATGCCAAAAACAATGAGCAAATTATGAGATATTTAAAAATTAGGTGGCTGTAAGTAAGAAAACAAAAGAAAACATGTCTTTATCGAAAAAAGATCCCTCCTTACGTGTTGCTGCCAATGATCCACACCTGGTGAGCTTGGGAGGAGGTCGCTTGAGTACGGCTGTAACTATACATAATATACCGGTGGGAGATTGTACTATAGGTTCTTCCCCGCAATGTTCGGTGTCTTTGAGTGGATCAGGCGTAAGGCCCATACATTGTACAATTTACCGCAGCGAAGAAAATCAGGTAACTTTGGTACCGGAACGAAATGCCCGCATATTGATCGATAATCAAGTCGTGAAGAATGAAATTGATTTAAGGCAAGGAGCTATGATCACTATTGGAGACTCGTACTATTTGCGTTACAATAATCCTGCGGAAGCCCTGCAAATGCGCTCTGCCATGGGAGATATTTCTGAAAATGATTATTCACCTGATTTGGATTATTTTTATGAATCGAATGTAAATCCTACTCCAAAATGCCGTCAATCTGACAAGTCAACTTACAGTGATTACGATAACTTGAAAATGTCGGATACTTCTGTAGATATTATGGGTTGGCAATGTCCAAAGGTTTTCACTGCCGACTTGGTTACAGTCAATATGCCTGCTAAAGATGTTTTGGGACAAAAATATGCCAGCTTTGCTAAAAATCTGGCGGAAAATCATCGCAAAGATAAGAATGTAAATGTACTTAATGCTAGTGATCATATTTACAGTAATATAACTTTAAACAACTCCCTATCTAAAAGCAAAGAGTTACTTAACAAGACTAACAGTACATCGACACCCATGAAATCGAATGATTTACAACTTAATGATAGAGATCCTTTGGAAGATATGCTGAAAATTTGCGCAGAGTATTCAGATAAACAAGATCGTTCATATACCGGTGGTAGTAGTAGCAGTACTTCATCTCCTATTGTGCAAAATCGCATCAAAACAAATGGTTCCTTGCCTAGGGATAAAAAATCGCCTTTCTATCAGGAGTTGCAGAGCTCTTTTCAAGGGAGTAATAGCAATCTTAGCCAATCGCCAAAATCTTACCAGAAGTCATCTTCTGGCTATGAAAACGTTCAACTTTTACAACAAAATCGCGTAGAAATTGTGTCAAATAACAAGTCCTCTGGCTATGAAAACGTTAAATTAGTCCCACAGAGTCCCCGTACTAAAATTAGAACAAATTGCATGTCTCCCAAAAAGGAGTCCAATCTAAATAATTCAATTTTTAGCCAGGACACTATGAGTTCAGGAAAACCAACTACAAATTATGAAGACTTAATAAAGTCGTTTGAAGAAAAATTTCAAAAGGAAATAGATGCCATAGAAGAAAGTTCGAGATCTGTACTGAACTCAAAAAAATCATTATCAAATAATTCATCACCTGCTGCCAGCAAAAGAACAAATAAAAACATCAACAATCTAACAATAGATATCAAATCATTTGTCTCTCCCTACAATTCACCGACGCCATTAAAAAAGCCTACTCCAGCCCCTCGAAAAATCAACAAAACAAAAGTCCTCGGTACTGGAAGCTTATCCAATTTACTTGCCAATCAATCCTCTCATGAACAATTACATAAAGAGCGAGAAGATCTGCTGCAAAGAATTCAATGCCTCAAAAGTGAATTGAGTTCATTGCAAAAGCAAGACAATGAAACTCTGATCGAAATGGATATGGAGAATGCTTTAGTTATGGCGGAACTGCAATCACTAACTCTAAATAAACAAAAACTTCAGGATGAATATCAAGCATTACAACAAAAAATCCATAGATTAGAAGCCCAACGTAATGCCACTAGGGTAATGGAGGAAAACCAACAGTCCAAACTGAAACACAACATAGAAATGAAGCAAGATCAAGTGGAAAAACTTAAAGAATTATTGAAGCAAAAACCTGACAATTTGTGCTTAAAGGAAGAACTCTCAAATGTTCGAGAATCTTTGGAAAATGATAAAAAGTCTTTTGAAGATTTGGAATTTCAGTATTTGGAAGGCGAGTCCGAGTGGCAAGCATATCGTGAAGATTTAAATGCGGAGGAACTGACCATAGCGAACAAAATTGAAGAATGCAAATTGTCCATTGAAAATTTGCAGAAGCAGGAGTTAATGTGCTCAAGTACCACAAATGCAAAACAGCGTCGTTTAAGTAACCATTTAATTTCTCTTATTAAAGATCTGCAGCAATGTGAGGAACAATTTAAAAATTTGGAGAGAAAACTTTCTTTGAAAATAAGTTCAAATTCTTCCCTCTCAGAGCAAGAAGATGACCAAAATCCATCAAACTCTCTGGGTTCCCAGGGCCAAATAACACAATCATTATTTGGTTCTACTGAAATGCTATGCCCGAAAGCGCATACCGAAGACTTGATGTCCAAAAGTGTCAATGAAAACATGTTTTATAACAACAAAATTGAACTTCCTAAGAGTGGTTTATTAGCGAACAAATACAAAGGGTCTAAAGATAGCTTGGATTCAAAAGATGTCAATTGTAAAATGAAGGTCACCTTAAAAGAAATCGAAAGGGAACGTCAATTACTAACCACTCAAAAAGGACTACGGGATTTGGATTACGAAAGAAGAAAAATCGAAGAACTTCTTAAGAAATTAAACTCGGAAACAAAACAGCAAAATATAACAACAAATAAAAGTGAAGGCAAAAAAGAAATTAAAGCATCAATTGTGCATTATCAGAAACAGGGCTCGCAAAAGGATGATTCTTTAAGTCCTGCATACACTAGCACCCCTCCACTATCAGCCGCCAGTTCCGACCCATCCAATAAATTATCGCCAAACATTGTCCATAAATCAAGCAACGAATTAAGCATATCATCACCCGATAGTCCTAGAAGTTTTTACATAGATGATAAACGTTCCAGCAGCGTATTATCAAATGAACTCTCCTCACAGGGTGACAGCTCTAGCATATCATGTGAGCGCAAAAAATCACACCAGCAAAAACAGCAAAGACCACTGACAAGATATTTGCCCATATTCGCCGAAGATTTGGATTTAAAACGCCACATAGAATCGGCCGGCCATCCCATATCTCTCTGCCCCCACGTATTTTTGGATGCGTACACTTGTCGTGGCTATCTTCATAAGTTAGGATCCACCTTTCACACTTGGTCAAAGCGTTGGTTTGTTTTAGACCGTCAACGCAGTGCCTTAATATACTATGCCGATAAATCCGAACGGAAGCCTAGAGGAGGAGCTTACTTCTCCTCTATTGATGAGGTCTATATGGATCATTTGAATGTCTCAAAAAGTAGTCGACCCCACTCGACATTTATAGTGAAAACAAAAAAGAGAAGTTATTACTTGCAGGCTGCCTCCGACACAGCGGCCAGAATATGGATAGATGTCATTATAACAGGGGCTCAAGGTAACATAGACTATTGAGCACAACTGAGTGGCATTAAACCCACACTGCAACCACAACAATTCCATTTTAAGTTACACATTATTTTTTAGTATTAAGTATGTACCTAGAATTTTAAAGGTATAATTGTTTTTTTTTTTTTATAAAAATCAAAAATCGTATCAAAATGTTTTGATATTTGTTTTGATAAATACATTTACAAAATCCTTATCTGCCTAACCCAAAACCATTACACAAACTTTTATGAAATGAAAGACATTACTCCAACATTCCCAATTTTCAACAGATATAAATCAAAATTATTAATTAAATGTAATTTTTTTATTAAGCTTAAGTTGAATTAAAATATTTTGAAAGGTTTAGGTTTTACTATTACATCAAAATGACTTCCTTAAAAATACGTTTAAATTTATTTAAAGTGAATTATCACAAATATTAATCTACCCGCTCAAAAACCACAGACTTGCTCAGAACTCTATACAAAGTATTCCTGGATAGTTTTAAAAGTATTACGTTTCTATTTAAATGTGCCTAATTTTATAAAAAAAATGGTGATTATTATACATACTACTACTACTACTAAAATCAATTATTATCATTTCTTCTTTCCGTTAGCATAAAGTTGAAAATTAAATTTGAATTACTTTAGAATTATGTTTTTAAATAAAAAAATCACCAACAAATGTATAAATAGTGATAAAAATTTGTTAAAATTGTTGTTATAATTAAACATCAATTTTATTTAAATATGTATTAAGCAAAAATACTGTTAGTTAAAATATTAAGAAACAATAAAATACTGTTTGAAACAAAATAAAATTATTTGTTTGCTTTTTATTACAAAAATATCCAAGATGATTTTCAATCTATTTCATTTTACTGAATAAAACAACAATTTCTTTTAATGTTAGATTTGTTTCTGGTTTATTTTATATTAATAGTTTAATTTACATGATTCAAATTACTTTTATATATTAGTCAACTATTTAATTAGAGCTCTTTCAAAACTTGAGATTAAAATATATATGTGTGTATATATTTTTTGTATATTTTTATATAAAAAGAAAATATGTATAAATTACAAATAACTTTATTCTTAGAAAAACAAATAAAAAACCGAGAAAACGTAATAAATTAATTGAACAATAGGCAGGAGATATATTGTTTATAAATAAAATCAAAATAAATTGTGGACAAAATAATTATTTTAGAAATATGTTTGTATGCATGTAGTTTAGTGTGTAGTTAAAGTCGTACAATTGTTAACAAAAGTCAAGTGTTGCGGTTTAGATTCTAATCTTTAATTTGTTTGTTAAAAGACTAAAAATGGAGGCATCTAATATTTTGATTTAAGTTTCAAAAGGAATTAAAAATCTTTTGAACTTTCAAACAATTAGTTTCTTTGTTTTAAAAGTTGAAATTAATCTGTTTATATTTACACAATATAATTATGTATGTAGTTTGTTAGATCCTCTTTAAAATTAAATGTTTTGTATGTGTACCTTGTTGCATTAATTACTTTAAGCAATTCAATTGCTCATTTCACTTTTATCAATAAATGTTTTAAAAGCTTTTCCTTTCACTTCCTTTCCTTTTGTTTGCTTTAGTTTTATTTTAAAGTAGTGTATGTCATCTATGATTCAAATTCTTTTTATCACAAGTGTAGCAACCGATCAGCATCGCTAGATATTACCAGCACTATGATAGTATTGAAAACTATTAAAGTTTACCGGCGTTTTCGGACTGGAACAGGGATATAGGAAGTCGTCGTGTTGCAACTGAGTTTGAGTTAGTGTAGAGTCGCTGGCACTACGATGAAGTTTGGGCAAAGTTCGCCAGATATACTCAAGCATATTGAGTAATAAACGGAATAGAGGTCTTTCATTGCGATCATACTTAATGCAATCCTCTGTAAGACGTTTTAGAGCTTGAGGAGCATCTGATCGTATTCTAGACATGTCCGGTTTCAATAGTCCTCTTCCCACCATGAATAAAATTTGATCCTTGTTGTTTATATGACTGTAGGGTAGACATTCAGCTAGTAATTCGTACAGTACGATGCCAAATGCATAAACATCAGATTGAAATGAATATGGATTCTGTTCTTGCATGCGTATAACTTCGGGCGCCATCCATAGTATGCTGCCAGTTGGTTGGTTTGCTTGTTTTTCACCCGACCATCTTGTTTTCGCAGTAGCCAAACCGAAGTCTCCTATTTTAACGGAGTATTCGTCTTGTAAGAATATATTGTTAGATTTTAAATCTCTGAAATTGAAAAACACGAATGATTCCTCTGAAAAAAACTTTTTAATTCGAAACGAACCTGTGTATGATATTTTTAGCATGCAAATAGTCCATTCCCTGAGCCACTTGTCGCCCGATGTCAATTAGAGTTTTTAGTTTGAATTTGGTTTCTTTGACATGTATATGCTTATACAAACTACTGCCTTCACACCATTGAGTAACAATGGCCAGTGAAGGTTTGGATACACAACCCATAAACAACAAAATATTACAATGCCTGGTTTTCTTTAACATAGCCACTTCATTTTTAAATGCTTGCAGTTGTGCTAAACTGGGAGTTTTGACATTAAGGGTTTTTACCGCCACTGGGCCATGCCAATGGGCTTTATATACTGTTCCAAAAGAACCCGAACCAATGCGCGGTCCTATTAGAATTTCTTCTGCTTGAATATTCTGAAATTAAATGGAGTTTATATAAGTTAAAATAAATAATTACTACTTCGGTCTCAACCTACCCAATTTTCTTCTGAAGTTCGATTGTCTCTAGAAGATAAAAGATTTTTATTACTTTCATCTGCAGAACGAGCTCTACCTCGATTTACATGCTTTAGGGTGCTAGTGGGAGAAGCTTGTGTTGAATTGGAATGATCTCCAGAATGTTGTAGAGGTCCATGAGCCTGAATCAGTTTGCATTGAGCCTCAGTAAGAGGCTTAATATTGTTAATATAAACATTTGGAGCTGAATTAGACCGATCCTGTTGGCTTATAGAACGAGGATGGCGACTCTAAAGGTAGTTAAACAAATCTATTTGTAAAAGTTTCTAAATATTCTCATTTTCTTTGTAACTCACCGAAAAGTCACCGATCATTCCCCGTCCAGGATGTAATATTCCTACAGCATTTTCAGGATTTTGAGCCAGTAGGCGCTGATAGTAACTATCTACCGGAAATTGTTGACAAAGTGTGGGTACCTTGTCGTAACATCTTTGATGAAACCGAAAGTTACACTGATTGCAATAGAAGCCTGTGAATAGTAGTCTACGACAACACTCACAAAAGGCCAGTGAAAAGAAAGTCTTCCTTATAAACTGATGCGATATATGAGTCATAATAGGGCATTTGTCCAGAAGTTTAACAAATATTTCCTCTACTTGTAACGTACCAATGTCGGTGTGCCAGGGTATAATGTTGCGCCCATTTTCCGATGTTGTTATTTCACACATTTCCGGCGTTAATTGGCGCAGTTTAAGAGCTTTCATTAGAGCATCACACAACCTGACGCCAGGCACAACTTCAACTGAAGTCCTCTGTTGGTTGGGCAAGTGCGCTCTGAGCAGAACCTTGCGTTGTCGTGTTAAAGTACCGCACTGACTTCCTCCATAATTAGTACTCTGAGACGAAATCAAGCTGTCAGTCTGAAATAAAAGTAGATATGTTATGGCAATGTATTCCTGCTGATTAATATTGTGTTTGTTTACCATATCGTTTCCCTGATAACCCGGTCTTGCCAGCAACTGCTGCATTTGTATTTGTTGCTGATTCTGATAGTGCGATTGAAATGCAGAGTATTCATTGTAAGTTTGTTGCTGCTGCAATTGCTTTTCCTCTAATTCCTGCTGCGCACTCATTTGCTCCATCAATTCAGTCTCTTTGGCCTCCAATTCATGCAACTTTGACGTTAATTCCTGATACTCGGCAATGTACATGGGTGGTGGCTCCTGCAAATTTGCAAATTTTGCATTGAGGGCGTCTATATTTTCTCTGGTTACCCGTATAACCAGTTGAATATTTTTCAATTCCTCAGCCAAGGCATCGTATAGTTCTTCACTATCCTCCGAAGATGGGGAACTCGTCATTGTTGCCTTTCCAAATTATTCACTCTGTACCTATACAGTTTTTATGAAACAAGTTGTGCCTGGGCACCCACTTACAAAAAATAGAGTATTGATGATAATTTGCGTAGGTTGAATCTTGGTTGTACTTTTTTCAACTTAAAGAGAATATTTATTTTTACTTTGAGTTCCTTTTATAGTGTTATTGGTAGAGTCATTAGCTCTTTTTAGTAATTTATAAATAACTAATTTTTCTTTTTATACGACCTTTATTACAATGGGTTTCCATATTATTGCAAAACTGGTTGGCTATGATACAAAACAAAAATAAATATTTATTCAATTATAAGCTGTGTGTACATAAAAAATCACAATAATAAAATAAATAACTCGAATTTATAATTATCACAATTTTCAGATTAATCTTACTCAATTACTTTGCACAAATTAATATTTGTATTATTTCTTAGTTAGCATCCTTTTGCTAGAAGAAAAAAACAAAATATTTTTTCGTAGAAAATAAGGATCAAATAACTACCCTATAAGAACAGTGACAGTCATTTGACCGGTCAATTGACTGTCACTACTGAGAATATACCCATCATTGCGTAGAACAAAGCTCCCATCACTTTCTTAAGGGCAATATGTAAAAAGTGATGGAAACATTTGTGTACATGTGATGTTGCATCACCCTCGCACTTATGAATTCTATCGACTTTAAAACATATATTTGAGCTGCTCACTCTTTTGTTGTTTACTAATCATGGATGATATAAATATTAGTCATGATTGACTAATCATGCTTGATGGATATATCCATCACAGTTAACAAATAAAAAAATGATGCATTAATCGGTCATTGTTGACTAATCACACTTGATGAATATATCCGTCAAATCTGACGGCTATACCAATTTATAATAAAACACAATTTATTGATATTTTAATATATATATATATTGTTAATTTTATTAATATAGTAATCATATACATAAATTACCAGTCTTTTCACCATTTTACATATCTCGCAGAATCTTAAGTCCTCTGATGCTCCTATTAATTTGTGGAAATAAGTTGTCTGTAAAGAAATACATAAGTATTCATAAATATCGAAAAACAAAAATTATAAGTACATATTTATGTTACCATTGATTGATTGAACTCCGAATTGTTTATCTTCTGATCCACTTCCTGAACTTTTTTCAAATTTAGTTTATTTATTCTCTTTATTTTTAATAATTTAAAGACTTTGTAACTTTTTTATTTTTTCGCTTCTTGATCTTTGGCTTTCGCAGAAACAATTAATTTGTAACGACGAAAAATACAACTCTGTAACACAATGACAGTCATTTGATCGGTCATTTGGCTGTCATTGTTGATCAAAATATAAATTTTAATACATTTTAATCAAAATGTAGTTGTTTCATTCTTTCATATGCAAATTCAACCCTATACCACACATTGGGTCCAGTAACGGTCATTTTACCGGTCATTTGACTGTCATTGTTGATGGAATCATCCATTAAATTTTTTTTTTCGACAATTCTATAAAAAAAAATGTTGCGTGTGTGTTAGTAAAATCATTTTGTATGTGTTAGTTTCGGTCATTCATTTCTTATAGGGTACATACACCTGTTGGGCTGCCAGACTTTAAACTATCGTTAATTCCTATCAGAGTTTATGAAATGCCCAAATATGCTAGCAAGTTAGAATAGTTTACAACCTTTACATAGAAAAAGAACCATAGGTCGATGTCTAACGAAACATAAATTAATGATTTTCCACAAAAAGCTATATTAAATTTGTGGTGCTGCTAAAAATGGTTCCTAATTAAAAAAACAAAATTTGTAATTAAAATTAAAAAGTATACTTTAAAATTTAGAGTAATCTGGCAACACCTCCTAAAACAATAATTATTCATTACCAAGGTTGATATTTAAAGTATTGAAAATTATCTACATTAACCCTTAAAAGCAAATGATATAAAATATATTTAACTATATTATATATAATTTTTTATTAACGATAGTTTTTGGTTTTAATTCTTATTTTGAATTCAAATAAATAGTTGCAATACTATCCCATATTTGATGATTACTTATCCCGGGTTCACTTTTCTCTGGGTTAAGGTCATTTTTTCGAATATAAAATGTATTACTATTATTTTGTCTTACCCTTCAACAATTATGTACATTAGTTCCAATATGTAATTTGATTTTTTTTTTATGTTTTCATTTTCAATCAACAGCTGTTTTTATACACGAACAAACAAAGTCTTATGAAATGTCAAATATATTCTATTATTTAACATATTTTCAAATAATCATTAAGTTTAGAGCAATTTGTTAGGTTTTGGTCTTATGTTGGTAGCAATTATTATATTATGGATTTATTAATATCATTAAGAAACTATTGCTTTTCGCGAGTTTATTAATTTGTTTATTAAAAGGGTTCAAGGACATTTTTACTATAACAGTAGTGTAAAGTTAGAAAAAATTAACATTAAATCAAAATGTAATGTTTTGTAGCACTTAATTTTCAACTGCACAGAATATATCAAATATTCATTTTTTTAAATTGTATTTGGGTATAATTTTTAATTATTTCTGTTTTATTTATTTTGTGTGTTTTTATGTGCAAAATTTCTTTAATGTATTCTGATTTTTTAAAGGTAAATTTTAAATAAAAACTGCGCATGTCTCATGAAAAGCCATGCAAAATATGCAACTGTTCACAATACATATAACATTTTCTTCATAGTTTTAATTAAGACTAAATTAACGGTATAAGATAAATATTTTTATTTATTGGTAATAAATAATTTGTTAATTTGACTTAACTTGTGCGGTAATACTAGAATTTTCTTCTTACAACGACAACTCTAAAAATCGCTAGAATTCCATTTACCACATATTATCAAAGTTGCGAATTCGTTAAAAAGAAATCAGCTAAATCAGCACACTGAATAAAAGACGCAGCTGTCTGACGTCTCGGTACTGAAAAATTCGCGTTTTCTTCTGTAAAATTTGTCTGCAATAAAGTTAAATATTTCAGTAAAAAGGTAAATAAAACTTAAGTATTAATTTAAATTTGTATTGCAAATTTGCGAAATTATCAAATAATGAAAAAACTTAGAAAATAATTTATTTAATATTCCTTTAAATAGCGAAAGCATTTCTTGGAAAAGTTTGCTCACGCCGCTGAAAACGTTTGCCGATGAAAATTTGTTAAACATTTGTTTTCTGATTTGTTAATTAGTTGTTAAAAATATAGAAAGTTTTTTGAATCATTATGGAAGAAGGTAAGCAGCAGGTATTGTTTTTTAAAAAATAAGTGAAAATTTACACACTTTGAAAATGCAATAAATTTGGTGAATTTTTTTCACAGACCATCAGGCATCCTCTTCTCAGTCGGCTGCTAAAAAGGTGGGCAAACAACACAACACTTTGCCATTATGGGGAAATGAGTCCACCATGAATTTGAATCCTTTGATATTGGCCAATATTCAAAGTTCAAGTTACTTTAAAGGTACGTGCGGAAAGGTACAGTAGCAAAAATTACATTTTTAATTTGTTACTTTAATCGAAAGAAAATTGGGTAAAATTGAGTTTGGCTTAAATTTCAGTGCATTTATTCAAACTTAAGACATACCATGAGGTGGTGGATGAAATATATTATCAAGTCAAACATATGGAACCTTGGGAAAGAGGCTCTCGGAAGACCAGTGGCCAAACCGGCATGTGTGGCGGTGTGAGTTTATGAAATGTACCTTTTTCGTTTTGAATGAAGGATTTTTTGTCCATAAAAGGAACCGCGGTTTAGCTAAAAGGAAAAATAAATGTTTATTTTATTTTGATACGTGTTTGCTCAATATACATTGCGGTTCCTTTTTAATTTGTACATGGAATAATTTTATTCTTGCAAATCTAGTTTCAATACGTTTTTCTTAAAAACTTGAATTTCAGGTTAGAGGAGTTGGAGCTGGAGGTATTGTTTCGACAGCCTATTGTTTGCTATATAAGTTGTATACGTTACGTTTGACTCGTAAGCAAGTTAATGGTTTAATAAATCATACTGATTCCCCCTATATAAGGGCTTTAGGTAGGTGGTAAGTCGATTGAGTAACCCAACAAACGCAATCACTTTCTCTTAAGTCAATTACAGTTGTTTAACAAAAGAATTTTCAAAAAAGTCTCCAATCGCCTTATGGTATTGTGAGTTTTAAATTGTGGCAAAGTTAATAAACATAATCTTTATTTTCACAATGCTCCTGTTAGGTTTTATGTACTTACGTTATACTCAACCACCGGCTGATTTATACGACTGGTATGAAGATTATCTACAAGATGAAGAGGAAATTGACGTTAAAGCCGGTGGTGGACAGGTGAGTCGATTGTATGATTATATTTTTTATATTTTAACAAATTTTGAAACTCTTGAAGAAAACTTATTTTATTATTATAACTTAACATTTTAGACAATAACCATGGGTCAAATGGTTTATCAATTTTTAACAAAATTGGATTGGTTTTCAACATTGTTTCCTAGAATTCCGGTACCGATACAAAAACAAATTGAAAAGAAAATTGAACAATATTGCCGAGAAAATAATGTGACTGTTCATCAGTTGAGTTCTGGTCCGAATATAGCTGCCACTAATACTCGTGCCAATAGAGCAGATTTTGAGCCAGAAGCAGAAGGTCACGCAGACGTTCAAGAGCGTTGGCGCAGTAAAGCAGCAGTGTCGAATTACCGTGGAGAACATGATGACCGCGGTGATTATAGAACATCTTCCAGCAGGGACTATCGTGAGCATCGCGATTATAAATCCAAGCGTTATGAGGAAAGATATTCTTCGCCTGAAAGTGTTTATCGCGGTACAAGCAGGGAACGGGAGCGTTACAGAGAAAAGCACAAAAAAAAGCATAAACATAAGCACCATTCCCGAAGCCGAAGCCGTTCCCGTAGTAGGTCACATTCACGTTCACACTCTGACCGAAAAAGAAATGAACGTGATCATCATCACCATCACCGCTCAAAGGGATACAGCGACGGTTATCCCGAAGACAGACGCTATCGATGAACTCAATTGAATTACACTCATCAACTAAAGACTTTTAAGGATTTTTCTGTTCTTAAATATATTTGTTTTAGATACATTATTCAACTACCTCCTTCCTAACGAATAGCTATTCTAAACATTATAGAATATATCAATTCGAATAAGGAGTAGTGCCAATTATGACCTTGTTTTCTATTTTAAGCATAAAACAGCACAACAAACAGCATGTCTTAAACTAAGATTTAAATATTTTTTGTCTATTTTCTATTTTAAAATCATTGTTAAACTCAGGTGAATAATAAGTCAAACAGAATTGTTTTTGTTTGCTACAAATTAAATATTGCTAATATGTACTTTGTTATACACCCCATCTCCCCACATAAATAGTTGCCGAATAATATTTAAATAATAATATCAATTGTATGTGAACGTTAGAAATAAACTTGAAACTGAATATGATTTTTATTATTATTATTTTTTGCATTATTGAATATTTATATATATTTTATTATATAACTATTCTCAATTCAATTATGAAGAATTTAAATAAAGAAATAAATACTTAAAATTCATTTTTAAATGTGCGTTTTTTTCGCTCAAAAATATCTTAACGAAAAAAAAGTATTTTCATATAAAATTAACTTTTGTTCATTCAAAAATCCATGATATAGCCCATTATTCTCCAAATATCAATGATTTTTGATTTACTTTTTCTTCTCTGAATTTTAGTTAGGATACCAGTTGCCAAATTTAAATACGTTATATTGAATTGTTTGTTTCCAATTGGGCTTTTTTATGTGTAACACCATTGTGATTGAAATGTCTTATTGGAATGTTTCGAAAATACCAATTGATGGGTTTTTGTCTTAACTTTATTCATTTTCCTTTCGCTAGCAAGGGTTGCAACCTTTTTGTATTACACATTTACATTTTAACAAAACAATAAAATATACAACTAGAATAAAATATAAATAAATAAATAATTTATTGCAAATGCTAAAATATTTGTTCACTAAAATGTTTAAAGTTAAAAGGTGTAAGAAGATGTAATGTTATTTTATTGAATATTAAATAAAATAGGTTTAATTTTAAGTGGCTTCTGTTGTACTACTGAAATTTACCTATTAATATGCAAGTGACAATTTATAATCCTTTTTCCATTGATTTAAATGCAACATTATTTTAATAAACGTAACGTTCATACACTAAATCGAGCAATGAGAAATGTTAACATCAGTCACTATACTTTTTATGGGACACGCATTATTTAAGGGTGGTTGCTGTATGCTAAACTACAAATTTATAAAATTTAGCCTTATTAGAGCTGTTGCTCCATTTCTAACAACAACTCATAATCATTCCTTTAATGTTGCATTATAATCATAATTGTACATATCATAATTTTGGATTTTAAATAAAAAGACGTGATTGAAGCAAACAACTCATAATTTTATTATAATTCGCTGGAAAAAGGATCTGCATATAAATTACCTTATTAGCGAAAGTTCTTATGAATGTTTAGAGATTTGTTTTGTTTTCAAAAAATACACAGAAATCTATATAGAACTTTTTTTTATAAATAAGACTGACAAATGTCATGAGTAGATTTTAGCATTTTGTTGAAAAATTGGGTGGAAAATATGCAGATTTCAGTTGTTTTTGTTTACAAGTTCACCACCCCTCTTAATTACAGGGTATAGAAGGGTTTAACAATTTTAAAGTGAATTTGATGTAGTTTTTATGACTTTTTGTAATAAAAATATAGGAAAATATTTATATATTAAACTTTACTGCCAAATACAATTATTAGGGTTAATGTGACTTTTAACGTTTTTAATTTATGTTTAAAATAAAAAAAAAATAAAACTGAACTCGACGAACAAGATGTGAGCAATTTCTTTTGAAATGATTTTCCGCGTGATTTCACATTTTGTATGAACATTACAATGAAATAAAAGTAAACCGCCACCAACTTTTTAATTACCCGCAACTTGTTTCAAATTTAACGGGTGGTTTTTTATGATTTAAAAATTGTGCGCTTTGTTTACAAAAATAATGGTGTGCGTATGTGCAGATTTTATGGATCACTTGTTAAATTATTGAAAAATAACAAAAAGGAAAACATACAATACACATTTCAACACTAGCCAGTACAAATTAAATTTATAACAAAAAGAAATCACTGAATTGGAAAATTTATGAGGGAACTTTCACTTTTAAACGGTGTTATTTTTAAACTTGTGAAATGAACGACATAAATGTCCTTTCCACTATTAAATAAGCAAAAACCCGTTTTTTTTTTTAATTCTATCACGTCCGAACTGAATTTTCTGTAATTTAAGCAGTGGTCCCTTTAACTGATTTTTTTTTTGAAAACAAAGTGTAAAGTTTAATCCATTTCAAAGTAATTTTTATTAGAAACAGTAGTTACCAGGACACGGATATATTCTGCAAATAAGATTTTAGATTTCTATCTAAAGAAAATTTTCACATACCTTTTAAAATATTGTTTTTCCATTTCAATTTTATTACAATGCGGTCCTCTAACACCATATTGATTTGATTTTTTATTTACTTTGTTATTCCTTTGAGGAACTTTTTAATACGTGTTCATATGAAAAAGGATCCTAGTTGTTGTATTGCGCGAAAAAATAACACAGTAAACATAAACAACAAACAACACCGGGTGCTCATGGATTTTCTCCTCTTATTCGTTTATGGCACCCATGATGATGGGTAACAAAACCTCAATTTTGCACAACTCAAATGTTAAAATAATAGGAATAGAAGGGACTTTGTAAGGGGATGGGTTGCTTGCAAACATTCTTCACACCAAGAATAAAATATTTCTACATATATATGTAGTAGTTCTTGTCTACACTTAAGACTCGTTATACAATTTTGATATCGTATGAAAAAGCCTTTAAAACATTCAATAACAATCCACATTCCCATGTTTTTATAAAATTTTTTCCCAAACCAAAAAACCAACAAAATAAAAGAGGGTAAGATGTAATAATTTTCTTACGCCAAAAATGCTCTAGTTACTAAGGTGTTGTTGGCAAAATTGAAGAAAAAAAAAAAACTGCCAACATCCTTGAAGAGGGTTGTCTTTTGGGGTGTAGTTGTTAAAAAAAAAACAACAATATGAAAAGTAAAGAAACCAACTGCCGTGTCCTTTGTTTGCAATTACTAACTATATGATTTGTGATTACAGATCTGTAGCAAACATCTCCTAGTCCTTCCGTGTATGCTTCCGTCATTTGAGGTTTTTGATTTAATTTATTTCATGTTATATAGTTCGTTAGTTTAGCCCCTTTGGTAAATTAATTAAAAATAATTGTTAAGCAAGCATATCATAGTATTTATTTTGGCAAAACCTTGTGGTGTTGTTTGTTTTTTTGTTTCGGACTCTGGGTCCTTTGTTTTTGTTTTTCTTTCTTAGTTATTTCGCAAGACATTGCGGTTTATGATTTTTCTTGACAGGCAGCTGTTAAAAAAAAATCCAAATCAAATTCTTATTTATAATTATTTCATAATTTAATAACGAAATTTATGACATCTTAAAAATATCCTTTAAATAAATACTTACATCCTGCTGATTGCCAAACATATTTTTACTGGTTTAAGAAAATTTAAAAATCATTCGAAGCCATTTTGAAAACTGATATATCATCTATTTAGTTTGTGAAATAAAATTAAAATTTGTAATATTTAATATCTTCATGGTCATAAATTTTACATCCATAGTTCTGTCATATCTGATTAAATTCTATTTTTCAAACACACCCATTTAGATTTAAAATAAATTTACAACTTTGAGACGTTTTGGTTATAAACATAATTATCTTAAGTAGTTCGTTCCTGCTGAGTTTTAGAAGTGTGTCAAAACTAACTACAAAAAAAAAATGTATAATCTTTTACAATTCTTTAACTCCTTCGCAGAGGTATTTCTCTGTGTGAAGGAAAATGTATTAAACAGTAGGTGTCTTAAGCCGTTTAACTAGTTAAACGAAAACTAACTAAACTATATTTGTTTTTGTAATTATCACCTAAAGATTAAAGAAAATATATATGTTTGTATGCAAATTAATGTACGAACTATAGGAAATGAATTTTAACACAAGATACCTTAAAAAAGATTGCAAATTTGGTTTGTCTTTAATAAATCCTTGGATTAGAAAAAGATTTCTTTCTTGTTATGAATGAATGTCTTAAAATGTTTCATTAGAAAACTGTGTTCCTAATCTTTTTATTCAAATTCAGAGTTTGCTTTAGATTTAGATAATTTCGGAAAAACCATAAAGCAAAGATTGACATAGTCTTAATAGTTTTTCCAATATGCATTTATAAACTGCAAGGATTAGTTAACTCTTTGTTAAAGTTGCAAAAGAATAACATATTGTTTAAGGATTTTATTCTCATTTTAAATAGGTTCCAAATGACGCAAAAGAAATGTATGGTAAAATTTAAATGTGTGAATTTCTTAGGCCTGAATAGAGATTTCTTTAAGCCGGTTTTTGGCATGAATGAATTAGAAGTTTGCAAAAACTACCTTTAATTCGTTAAGGTCTATTTTTGAAATATTTATTTTTTTATTCTTAAATTTGTAAAGAAATTTGTAAAAAATCTTAAAATTTAAATCCTAAAAAATGAATGAATTGGGGATTTGGTACTGTCCTTGGAATTAAATTGCCACACACGTGGTGTTTTCTTTGCTGAAATGTTGAGCAGAAACAAATAGCCAATTGTCTATAAAAATAGGCTTTGAGAACAATACATCCTCGGAATTAAATTGCCACACACATGGTGGAAATGTTGAGCAGAAACAAATAGTCAATTGTCTATAAAAAATAGGCCTCGGGTGAAATCTAAACTTCTGAGTTGTCATCAAAATTTTTCATTAATATACCTTTATATTCTTTGGAATAGAACTTAAATGAGTTCTTCTACTAATCTTCTTCTAATTTCATTATTGTATGAAAGTGGAATAACTAAATTCTAAATATATTTATCTTGCTATAATACAGTTTCTTCTTAATTGAATCAAAATTTGTATTAATCGAATTTGTATTATAATAAAAATGATCCATATTCTAGAATCAATTTGTAACTAGTTCTTTAACTACTCTGACTATATTCGTTTTGGAACTAGTAATTTCAGAGCTCATATTGAATATTTGTGTCTAAATTCTATATAAAAATAGCCTCGGAGAAAAAAATAGACCCTTGAATTGTCGTTACAAGCTGTTAGAACATGTTTTTCTTTCAAATTGCCTTTTATTGCGCATTGTTTGTAATGCTTAAACATTTTTGTTTAGCATTTAATCAATTAACTAAACTGCATTTGTTTTGAAAAATGTTTGTTTTTACAAATAATCATTAATCATCGAAAATAGATTGCATTTAGCGATAGTTAAAAGAAAAACTTAACCCGCGAGTTCTTCACAATGGACACA